TAAATGTTGTCCCTAAGAAAGATATATTAATATTATTTCATACTTCAAGCAACGAAGCACTCTAAAGAACAAAATATCAGCATGAGTAGTGCAGATTTCAGAAAAATTAGCAAGTACATATCAATTTTTTTGCATATTTAGCTTTTAAATGCTTCAAAATTAGCACACAATGCTTACATAAGACATCCATATATGTTGTACTCATAAAAGTATGAACAAATTAGCACAAATGCAACTTATATCACCAATTGGATACTCAAATTAGCAAGAAAACATGTTGGAAATAGTACCAAAATAGATTTTTTAAAATAGGCAAGAAATATCTCAATTAGTTAAAAACAACCTAAACATAATATAAGTGGCTACTACTCATCGTAATAATATAATGTATCATATTCAGTGTCACTTTCGCTACTGTGAATGTTTGCTCTTGAATCATCGTTATCCGCTCCAAAAACATCAATTACTGGCATGTCTACTGTAACTCCTATTATGTCATCTCTGAGATCAGTAAAATCATCTCCCTCTAGCAAATTTGATTGAGTAGATTGCATGAGATCCACTTCGAGTATGTTGCAATCCCTACATGCCAATTCTTCTCCTTAGACTCTAGTGTGCATAAAACACTTGTACTGCTTGAGATGCAAGGATAAACAGCTCATCAGTCTTGCAAAGAGCTTTAAGATTAATTAGTGTAAGGCCATGCACATCTTTTTTCACTCCTTTTGTCGGATCCATCAAATGACATTCAAATAAAATAACACTTCTCCCCAGTGGATATGCTAATTCAAATATTCTTGTAAGAATGCCAAACCATAAAATATCCCCAGCATTTGTGACAGAATTAACTAAAACGCCTGAGTTTTGTGTCATGCTTCTAATGTCAATAGCTTTAATTCACCATTTGTACCCATTACATGTAATCTTGGACAATTTTCTAACATGAGCACTTGGAAAAGCACTCAAGCACTTCCAATCCTCCGATAAGCATGGATATAAAGCATATATACAACTGTATTATATGTACTATTACTTACATTACAAGAAAACCAATTTCAAAATCTTTCCCTATAATTCTATAAATTTTACTCCCTCCGTCCGGAAATAATCTTCCCATTTCTCCTTTTTCTCCATCCGGAAATAATCTTCCCATTTCAATTTTTTATACACTAACTACCAAAAACACCCCACTTAACATTTTCACATTATCTCTACCTCCCCCCTTTCTCTCTCCTCCCATATTTCCTCACCACACACTCTCTTATCTTTNTTTCTTCTTCTTCTTCTTCTTCTTCTCTTCTCGATATTCTTCTCTTCCCTCTCTGTGAGATCTACGGTAGATCTGTATTAGATCTTCTTCTCATCTTCTTCCCTTCTTTTTTCTCTTCCCCTTTTCTCTTTCTCCCGGAGGAGATGGTGGCGACTATGGATGATAGTGCGATAGTGCGACTGATGGTGAGTGGTTACGTTGGGGCTGAGGGGGGCGATTGTGGTGGGGGCCGGGTCAATTGTGGTAGAGGTGACGACGACGGTGGTTGGGGCTGGGTCAATTTTGGCAGAGCTGACGGCGATAATGGAGCCGGGGATGATGGCGGTGGTGGGTGCTAGCCCTGGCAGAGATCAGGGGAGGGCAGGGCAGGGTTGGGGTTGTAAAATAGGAAAGAAATGAAGGGTATATTGGACATTTCTCTTGCAAACTCAACACTTCATAAATATGAGAAAAAGTGCAAATGGGAAGATTAATCACAGACGGAGGGAGTATATACAACTTATTTTTTTGTATTCAATTTAAATGTTATTCATTCATAGTATTTTTACTATTTTTTTCAATTATAGAAAAATAAAACACATCAGCTTTTATCACGGATATACCTGACTCATTTGGATCCAAATCTAGGATTAAACTTCAAGACCCATTGGGTAAACGGGTACTGGTCAAGATCAATTTTTCTAAAATTATACGAGTATAGAACAATATGGACTGACCCAAATATGATCCATTGACAGTCCTAGTTGGCATTTATGGGCAATTCAGCATGGTGTATTTTAAAAAAAAAAAATCGTATCATGCGATTAATATTTAACGGTTCGGTACGCTATCGATTTTACGCATAAACTCGTTCAGTATCATTTCATTTGAAAAATGGAGAATACCATGTTATGCTAACGTCAAATCATATCATAATATTTCACCTCTTTAAAAGATTTTTGTTTATAAAAAATAATTGACACAATTAAAAATAGTGCATTATTTTTATGCAGTTTTACTCAATAAATATATTGTTTAGTTAAAATTTTTGACAAACATTATTGTAGTTTGAATTTTCAAGAAATAAAGTCATAATTTGAGTTGACTTTACTAAAAGCTAACAAATGAAAATGTATTACGTAGTACTATTATTTATGACCCATCGGGATCCATCTTCGATCCAAAATCATGGTTTTTAGACCCTTAATTTTGTAGTTTTGTCTTTTTTGGGTCTTTTTCCTACATATTTACATCTTTTTAGCTATAAATGCCCTGCTTGTCTTGTCAGTAGTTTTATGCAGACTTGGTATGACAGTTACTTTGGTTTTTGGTTTCACGGTCAATTCCCTGATTTTTGGTTTTTGATTTGCGGTTGACCGACATATCTTTTAACCAGATTGGAAATGGTTAAGAATCTCTACCTTATTATTCTACATCAATATAAATAATTCTACATATCTCCATTAGCATTTTCATTCCTCTCTTTTTTTTTAATCTGTTGATTTATTCTTTTATCATATGTCTTGATTCTATTCGATCAGTTTAGTCCTTTAATTTTAACTTATAACTTAAAAATCTGAAATAAAAATTTTTAATTTTGAATTTGTAAATATTCAGTGTAAAAAAATTATTTTTAATCTTTAACTTTTAGATTTTTATCTTTTAAATTTATAAATCTTTTTTAATATCATATATTTTTTGTGCGATCAAACAACAAAATTCAAATTGAGGTTTTTCACTTCAAATTTCATGACCTCAATTTTGTGTACTAAATGATGCCTAATTTTATGTTTTTTATAATCAAGATATTTAAAGAAATGTCAATAAAATCAATACCGACAAATAAAACATTGTTTCTAAAACTATAAACAATTCCGATAGATAAATTTTTGTTGCGAATACTAAAAACAATACCAACAGATAAATATTTTGCAGCTAATACTATAAACAATACTGACAGATGAAGTGTTTTTTTCATAAAACTATAAGCAATACCAACAGAAAAAAGTTTGTTGCTAAAACTATCACCAATAGCGACAGATATTGTTAGAATTTTGACTCATAACGCGACAATTTTGGACGTAAATTTAGTAGGGTCCACAAAATTATTTTTCAAAAATAATTATGGACAAATATTATTCCAAGTGAGACGAGTATTTCAATATATTGTCAAAAATTGGTGCTCGGGTCAGTGAGAAATTAATTTTACAAAGTCGAACTCTTAGAAGGGTAAAACCCACGTATCCCACATTGGATTTTAGACCCTTCAACTTCCTCTATTTATATGCTAGTCTTTAATAGCATTGTATAACAATTAATGGAGGGAGAACCAAGGTAGCCCTCGCGCACTGCCGCCGTCGTCCATCCGTCTCAGCACGCGCGAACGCGTGGGGCATGTGTGTATGAAGTCGAACGACGCGTCGTGACATGGTGGGGCATGAGTTGAACTCTTATCTTTTTACAAGAAAAAATTAAACACGTGTTGGCTTCGTTAATAACGAAGTGTTGGCATGCACCATTGAAGGGACTTTGTGACCCTTCAGTTTGTCCGCCTAGTCCATCCCTTTGAGTCTCTCCCCTCTTATGTAAGGAGGGCGAGTTCACAGCGAATAGTCACTCGAAGATATACTCTCTGCGTCCAACAATCTTCTTTTTCCGATAAGTGTTTTCCGGAAAATTGTTCCTCTTTGTTCCAGTTCATTGGTGCATTGTTCTACCGCTCTAGACCTTGCACGTTAGCGGTTTTATCCTGGGAGGGGATCGTCCAGTTAGCCAGTGCGGGAGGCGGGCGATACTACCATAAGGAAAGCTCCGACGACTCCACTTTTCTCCCTTCTCCGTTCAGTTTCCCACCACCGGCTATCTCTCCTTTTATTTATTTTTCGTTGTAAAATTTGAATGTATTATAAGTTTGGATTATTTGATTTTCCTTAATATTTGAATCAGACAACAAATATTACTCTTTCTGTGGGTCCTGTTGGTACTGTCATCCTTTTTGTAGTGATTGTATACACATCCTAAAATATACTCCCTCCATCCCGAAAAACATGGGAGTTTTGGTTTTTGAGAGGGATTTAAGGGAAGTGTATTTTAGTATTGAATTTCCAAAAATGTCCTTTGATGTGATGGGTAAAAGTATAATTTGATGGATAGATTATTAGTAAAAATGTATGATGTTATAGGTAGGGTATGAAAAAGTAAGGGATAAAAATGACTTTAAAATAAAAATGAGAAGTGTTTTTTGGGACGGATGAAAAAAGAAAGTAGAAAAGTTTTCTGGGACGGAGGGAGTATTTTTTAATTTCCTAAAAACAGCCACTTATGAACAAAATCTACGAAACATGTTTTTCTTGAAGGCAAATGTCATCCTCCGGTAAAAAAGAGTCAACTTAACCCGTTGTTCAAACTGGTTAATCCAAATAAGCCAACAACTAACTCACGGCTAGTTTCCAAACAAGACCTAAATTTTGTATAGAAAAACACGTTGAAATTACCCAATTAATATAATAATCTCTAAATTTTGTATAGAAAAACACGTTGAAATTACCCAATTAATATAATAATCTCTCCGTTTCTTAAAATTCTCTCTTTTATTTTTTTATTTTTCTTAAAACACTTTCCTTTTCTATTTAAAAACCACTTTTACCCCTACTTTTTCATACTCTACCTATCGCATCATACTTTTTCACTAATAACTAAATTATCACATCTTACTTTTACCCATCACATCAAGGGAAAAATTAGAAAGTCAACTAAAATTATACTTTTCTTATTTTTTTCCAACGTCAAAAAAGAAACAATAGGGGGAGTAGCATTAAAATTTTAAAACACCCACCCGCCTTGGGAAACTTAGAAGGAAAATATTGTACTAGAGAAACAACATGCATGAGAACGAAAACAAATTAAACGGGGCAACACCATCAGGTTCGGCTACACATCCTATCATACACATACAAATTAAATGCTAGATATTTCTGGTGGTGTATCCATGTGTATGGCCTCCGAGCGGGTAGGAAGGCGCGGCGGAGCCAGCCGGAGGCACCACCGCGTCGACTGCAGTCTCCTGGTGGCCATGTCCGCCAAGAACGCCGCCACCGTGGGTATGGTGGTGGGTTGCAGCGGAGGCGGCAGGAGGAGGAAGATGAGCTTGCTTGGCTTGTAATTTCTCGGTGGCGTGTCGCGCTTTGGCTTCATGAAGCTTCATCTTTGCCTCGGCTTCCTTCGCCTTTCTTCTCTCCTCCGCTATCTCTTTCTCCTCTTCCGTCCTCGCCCTCGCTTTCTCCACCTGATGAAAGGTAAATATGTAGAGAAATGACTTAAGTTTTTGTGTGCAAAATTCTATAATATTCGTTCCACATAATCAAACGCCTAGACCGACTTGGTGATGAGTAGAGAGAAATAAAAAGAAAGAAAGAAAAGTATAAATTGCATATATGCCTGCCTTTTCATCAGATTTGGCAGCCAAAATGTCGAGGTGTTGTTTTGCAACAGAAGCTGTGTTGCTAACTTTCTGCTTCACAGAATCCATATGCTTATTATCTTTCTTTCAATTGCTACGTCCTTACTTCGATCAGGCAAAGCTGTACGTGCAGATATATATATATATATATATATATATATATATATATATATATATATATATGATCGAAGTTTGAGAACGCTAACTATATACTCCCTCCCTCCCTAAATAAACTTTACATTACGCATTACGATGTTTGACTTAAGTTATTTTTCAATCATTTTATATGAAAAATGGCGTAGAATTGAAAAATAAAAATTACATATTAAAGAACTATATCAAAAGATTTACAAAACTAGAGGTGACATGATTATATTATTTTATCAAATGGGTGATGAAAATAAGCGAACAAAAAGTGAATAAAGTTTAAGAATATTATATATACCGGCGCGGCCAGCAATGATGGGGCGGCTAAGAGAACGTACGCACGCCACGTTTCAATCTCCGTACGTGTCTTGCATGCAGCGGCTATACATGTCCCCATCCCATTCCCATGTATTGTACCTGGCCGCCTGCAAGATTTAGCCCACTTTTCATGGAATATTAATTCCTGGCGAAATTTCTTTGGAAAAACGTAATGATAAACATAAATAAAAATCCAATTGTGAAAAACATTAAAAAAAAAACAACCTACTTCCATCCCACCACAACAAGCGTGGGCTATTAACCCAATTGTGAAAAAGTATCTTGAAAATATTTTACTCCTCTTTCATTTTTTTATTAAACTTATTTTATCTTTTGGGTAAATTTCATAAAAAGCCCCCAATTATAAGTCATTTTACATTTTTAGTTCCTACATATCAAATATTACTAATTTAGTCTCCAATTATTATGTTCATTTCCACGAATGGTCATTTGTTAACATTTTCGTTAAGAATGTGGATAAAATTGTAAATTCACACTCTTTTATCTCCTCAATTAAGCTTCCTCCCTCCCCTGTCACTCCTTTCTCAAACTCGTCGCTGAGTTTGAAGCTTTGAACCCAAAAACGAAATCATCACTCTTTTCTCAATTGTTTGTCTAATTGGTGGAACCCAAATTCAAAACTAGTAACCTTCATGGATGAGTTTTAATGTTTATTTTCTTTGCAATTTCTTGAGACTAACCGGTAAAACTCATCCATAAAGCTTATTGGTTTTGATTTTAGATTCCACCAGGAAGACTAATAATTGACAGATGAATGATCATTTCAGTTTTGGGTTTAGAGCTTCAAACTCAGCGACAAATTTGGGAAAGAGTACGAGGGGAGGGAGGAAGCTTAATTGAGAAGATAAAGGAATGTAAATTTACCATTGTATCCACATTCTTAATGTAAATGTTAACAAAGGACCACTCGTAGAAATGAATATAATAATTGGGAACTAAATTAGTAATATTTGATATGTAAGGACTAAATATGTAGAACGACCTATAACTGAGAACATTTTATGGAATTTACTCTTATTTTTTGTTAAAAAACTACATTACTTTTAGAAAAAATTACCCGAAATAATCCCAACTTTACCCGGTCTTTCAAAAATAATCCCACCTTTCACTGTGATGCATAATAATCCCAACTTTACTAAAATTTGTCAGTTTTGGGTCGCCGTTAGATTTCTAACGGAGGGTTAACGGAAATGGCCGTTTTAGGCAACAAAATGAAAGTTGGGATTATTTTTGATGAATTTTCATTTTTTTATTTTTTTAAAATTTTTCATTTAAATTTTTTAAATTACTTTCTACCTCCATCATCATTTATTTTTTTTAAAGATTAGTCTTAGTTTAAAAAATAAAAATAATAGATATAAAAAATGAAAAAATTAGAAATGTAACTAAAATGATACAAAAATAATAAAATAAATAAGGTAATCAATGGAAATTAAACTAACTTGAAATTGGTAAAAGTAAAATAAAAATATACGGGTGGGTTTTAATATTTTACGCATTATACAAAGTATTAACATATCACTTCTTATTTTTTAGAAAAAATTATCTACAATAATTCCAACTTTACCGGACGACTTTTTCTTTTAAAAAATAAGTAGTACATTAAGACTCTGTATAGTGTGAAATGTTAAACCCACCACTCCGTATATATTTATTTTATTTCTTACCAGTTTCTGTTTAATTTCTATTGATTACATTATTTATTTGATTATTTTGTATGGTTTACGTTATTTTTCTTACTTTCATTATTTTTTATATCTATTTTTTTTCTAAGGTAAGAATAATCTTTAAAAAAGAAAAAGAAATGGAGGTTGAAAGTAATTCAAAAAATTTAAATAAAAATTTCAAAAAAAATTAAAAAACAAAAATTCATCAAAAATAATCCCAACTTTCATTTTGTTGCCTAAAACGGGCATTTCCGTTAACCCTCCCTTAGAAACTTAACGGCGACCCAAAATTGGCAAATTTCAATAAAGTTGGGATTATTGTGCATCACAGTGAAAGGTGGGATTATTTTTGAAAGACCGGGTAAAGTTGGGATTATTTTGGGTAATTTTTCCTTACTTTTATTGTTATTAATTCTTACCAGGTCTTTTGCAAAAAAATGAAAGACCCATTTGGCGACCATAAAAAGTGTGAGAAGAACTACATTTCCTTAAACCTACAAAAACACAACTCAAGTCAAAAAAATGGGAAAAATATAAAATAGGAGTAAAATATTGAAAATAGCAAAATTAGAATTTCATGTTTTTTTCGAAAAAGGAGTCAAAGTACATTTACATTATCAATCGTGATCATGTATACTACCAAAAAGTATAGTAAAATGCATATGTACAGTGCCACATTACGACAGTGAGAAATCCTATTTTAGAAATACAAACATAGAATTCGTATTTTAGTATTTTCTCTATGTTTTTTTCTCCTATGTAAGGTGAATTTCCCTATACATGCAGCAATATTTTGAAACACATATTTTGATGTGCCGGTTCAATCGATTGAACCACAACTCAGAAATGATTCATTATACTCTCTCAGTCCCTGAAAACCTTACTCCTTTCTTTTTTCAATCGCTTAAAAAAATACTTCTTATTTCTGTTAAAAAATTACTTTTACCTCTTACTTTTTTATACCCTACCTATCACATCATACATTTTTACTAATAATCTACCCATCAAATCTTACTTTTACTCATCACATTAAAGAACATTTTTGAAAATTCAATACCAAAATACACTTCCCTTAAATCTTTTCAAAATCAAAACACCCCATGTTTAAAGGTACGGGGAGAGTATTTTAATGGACCCAAGAAACCGGGTGATCTCGGCCGCTTCGAAGGTTTGGGGCTAAACCCACTTTTTCGTAAAATTTAGATATTGAAGGGCGAGCGGGAATCAAACCATACAAGTTGGTTGCATCAGTGGTGCACTGGTGCCTGAAAGCCAAGTAATCACCTTTTTTTGAAAGAAAATATTTTTTTGCACTGTTTACCCCTGAATTTTTAAAAAATTGCATGGATTTCCCTCTAAACTTAAAAAAATGTATTAATGTCTCCGGAAGTTTTAAAAATATTGCAATAATGGTCCCTCAACACCTAATTTAGGAGTTCGTAAATTATACGCTTATCTAGTTTGAATTTCGTATACCAAACGAATCCTAAGGTCTATTTAATACACAGAATTTACGAAATTGGAATTAAACTGAGAATGCAAATTTTATAGAATTGATTTAGATGGAATTGAATTCTCCAATTGTAATTCATTTTTGGTACTACCAATTCAAAATTTACATATTCATGTACTACTAAACAATAGAATTGAAATTGTTATCTCCTATTTTAATTTCATAATTTGAATTCAGTGTACGAAACTAAACTTAAATTGAAATTCGGGATGAAAATTCATTGCAGGAACCACAAGTCTCACTACCTGCAGGGGGTGCGACATCTATAATGACGTCATATTATATGGTTTGGTTGAATATTAGTGCAGAATTAAGCTATTTGTACCCCAGGAGTTATACCTTATTTTGTATCACAAAGACATGCACCAATATTTTATGCTAGTGTAATGGTTTAGAATTACAAAAAATGTCAATTCAATTTTTTTGAAATGTACACAATAAAAATGTCGAAGCATCTCTTTGAGATACAACTTAATGTACAATTCTTGGTGTACTCCTATCATGATTGATTGGTGCAAGTTAGAAGGCATATAGCCTATACAACAAGACATTTGAAACCTCCCTCAATAAACAAAAAAAATTAAAAAAATAAAAATAATTCCAAAAAAACCCAAAAAAAAGTATCACACGTTCTGATTTTTGTTAAATCAGAAACAAATAAAAAAAATTCGTTGCTGAAACAGCAGGGGACACATAAACCTAACCAAATCTTCATATATTCAACAAAGAGTAAAGAGTAAAGTCTAGGAGAGCAAATAACACTTTGTAGTATATCCATCCATTCCAATGAAGTCAATGTAAATCTACAATCACATTATGCTAGTAAATTTTACTCCAAACTCTAACCAGAAAAAGACCCACTCAGTTCAATCAAAGCATTGTCTATAAGGGAAGTTAAATCTTCATAATCACATAAACAACCAGATTTATGAAAATTTGACCCAAAATATTTACATAAGAACAGGTCAAAGTTACCATCTACTTGAGGTTCCCCATGTATGAAGCCATATGTTTTTCTAAGAGAAATGCAGAGCTCTTCAAGTAAGTGATCCTCAAAGTCCTTCCCAGCAATAAAAAAGCCATGTTTCTTATCGATATCTATGGATTTCATTTTCAAAGCAGTGCTGCGTATGCATTCGAGGTTGAAAACAAAATGCCTTGCCATCTCTCTAGTCGTGAGATTGCGAAGCTGCACCATGTTGGAAAACGCAAAGCGCACCAAGAAGGCAAAGAAATCTTTAATATTCATGCCTGCAGTACAAGGAAAGAGGCAGACTTGTATTATGGTTAAGGATAAGAAGATAATCATATTAATCAAGTAACAAGGTTTCCTCTAGTTTTCTGAACAAGTCTCAACTGCACAATCTTATTTCAATCAAAGTGAATCAAGTAAATTCAGAAGAAAAATTTAGAAACAAATCTCAAGCCGTAACTCATAGAACTATGGAAGGAAAAGATGTGTGCTTGTAATTGATTTCAGGTTAAAGCACGGTTAAAAATTTCTATCACAGACCTACCGAAATTTCTAAGGATTTTAAGTAATCATTATAGTGCCCATATTAAGTTGTTAAATACCAACTTTAGGCGGATCCTAAAAATCATTGACCATCCAAAGACTTTGTAGTTGACTAGCATAACTGTGGTTCTCACAAATGGGAGGTCACAGGTTCGAATCCAGTTGGGGCATTAACTCTTTGTGCTTTAGTATATTGAAAACGTATGTATGAAGAGATAGAGTTAATAGTTGTAAAAAAGATAGACCAAAACCTGTTTGAGATGCTCTCACGGTGAGAGGGGACTAAAATGTAAATTATTTCAAAAAAAAATAATTTTGAAAAGTAAAGGTTCAAAGTTTAAAAGCATTGCATTTTTGCCCCGTTTACAGGGCCGATGAGACTGTCACATAGGAGTGCACTTCTTGCCCTACATCTTAGGAGATGAGTGCCGAAGATAAACACCAATGGATAATTTACACCATGTCGGCCATTAGATATGAAACTGATATTAAACAAATCTTTGCCTACTTCATGTTGATAGGCTATTACAACATCATACTGTGAGTAGTCCTGTGTACTCCCAAAATCAGGACCCAATCATTCAATGAAATGAAATGGGATTGCCCCCTATCCAGATTCTGATATTATAGTCATGTGTGTGTGACCTAGAATATGCATAAAACCTAAACAACGAACTGTTTTATCCTGGACTCATGAAGCATTTCACTAGTGATGGTTGCAATAGTGAGTAATTGTGCAAAAGTACTACTACAGATGAATTCCATGTACATATTATAATATCAGGAGTCATTATTGTCCATGGAGCTAAATGAAATCATTATTAATGCATTCTGGCATATAATGGACTAAATCAAAATGACGCATTAAACTTCCTTTGCTTCTTACTTTCTATGAAGTTTTGGACAATACATCTTGGTATTATACTGGACATTTGTTGATCTCAGAGTAGATATTACAGGCAATGAATGATGATGATGATGATGATGATGATGATAATAATCATCATCATCATCATCATCAATCATAATGATGATCCACCTAGAATATAAAGCGTACCTGTATTTGCAGCAAGGTTGCGCTGGCAGAGCTCCTCAAAATCATCACATTCTTTAAGGTCTACAATGTACTCCTGAGCCTCATGGTAGTCTCTCAGAAGCAATTCCCACTAAAAAGATTATTACAATAGAATTTGTTTGAGACACAAAACATAGTACAATGGTTTCTTTCTAGCAAGTTGCAGTTGCACAAGCTATACTTACCACCCAAGATAGATTATATGCATTGAACCAGTTGTGATTTATGGATATAGTATCCTCCTGCAAGTTATTGCACATTTGTGGCTTTAGGGCACACACAGTCACACACACATGCATAAATATATATACCTAGTAAAATTGCATAGGGTGGGGTCTGCAGAAGGTGCGTGTACGCAGAACTTAGTGTTATACACAAACACAACAACAACAACAACAACAACAACAACAAAAGTAAGAGATAAACAGATAACTCAACCACCAAATACAGACCAGAAAGGACAACAACGCAAAATTTCATGTGAATGAGATAAATGCCAATCAACGATCAGATAGCAACCAATTATCACACACACACATTCTTATTTCAACGGTGAATCAATTCACACTTTAACGAAAATTTATAGATATAGGGTGTGGTTCAGGTGGCACTTAACGTGAGACATGAGAATGGTGCACTTTTTGATCAACATGGTACACATTTGTGTATCAAGTAGTTGCACATCATATATTTTAGAATCCATGTAGTCTTAGTTTGTGACATATCATCTCACTAGTTTGAGCCATCTAGCTAACAAATGTTCAAGTGCCTCTTTTGAACTTATCTCACTTTAATGTTTGGTGTGTTTGCTTGCTGTTGACTGTTGTATCTAAGTGTGATTTCTGATATTTTATTACTTTAGTAGATGATTACTCTCGCATAAATTGTTATTCTTGAGAGTATATCTAAATTGTTTTCCCTTTTTTGCCATTAGTACCAAAACCAAAACTCAGTTTAATGCTCAATTTTTGTATACGGAGAGAACAAAAAATCAGGTTCACATTTGAGAGTATATCTAAGGGCTTGTTCGGTGAGCACCAGAGATATGGGTTGTGATATCTTTCAATCAGAACCAATTAGTGGGTGTTTCGTAAAGCATAAATCAGGTTCACATTTGATATCTTCCTAAATCACAACTCTCCCATATAGGGGGTGGCTTGAATCTCCTAATTTTGGGTGATATCAATCTAGGGGTTTTCATATCTCACTCAATAGTCGGCAGCAATCCTCTGTCCTTGCCCACCGACCACCACCAACGGCGGCAGGCACCCACGCTTGTCACTAAAAATTATATAAGATTTTTGATCTCTCTAAAGACTTTCATTTTGGATTTCAGAACTCAAATCAATTATTCCAAATTTCATGGCCCATATCATATAAACCTATACTTCGCTCACCAAACGGGCCTTAAAACTTATTTCTATGATCCCTTAAAATCATACATGCTTCGAGGTGACAAGATTCATCTAACCTCTTGTGAAGATGTACATCCTCAAAACAGGGTGGCAAAATGTGGAAATCCTTGTTTGTTTTAAAGGGAAAGGGCTCTTTTGTTCTAAATGCATGCGCCTAAACAATTTTAGGCTAATATTTTGTCTATTGCAAGTGTTTTAATTACTTGTATGTCTTCGTCTATTTTGAATGGAAAAACTCCTTATCAATGTGCATATCCCACCACGAACCCTTGGAAGTTCTTGTTTTGTTACCATATCACCAAGTTGAATCCCAAGTCTCCTCTTAAATATGCTTCGTTGGGCTATTTTGGATGTAAAGAAAATGGAGATGTTTTTGTCCTAGTGCTTATCAATATTTGGTCTCTGTTGATATTACATTCCATGAAAAAAATTGTTCTATTACATGAATGAAGTGTATACTTGAAAGCTTGGTGTAAGTGTGTTTTCTATTATGCCTCTAGGTGAAATCACGTGCACAATGTGTTGTCCATCCCCGGTAAAGCATTATTCTATTTTTTGTTGGAGAGTGAAACTTACAATAAAAGCATATGTCAAGGGGTTGATACTAGGGAGTTAAGGAGTTAAGCGCAACAATTGTCATACATCAAGGGTGTTGTTACATCTTATCTTTAAAGAATAGATAGAATCTATTTTTTGAAGTAGCAAAGGAAGAGTTACTAATGTATAGAGCTTAACAGACAATACCAGATTATGAACTTGATGATACCATCCACTAGGGACAAAGATTATTTCGTTCTGCTCCTGAGTGCATTCCAACCACACAGCCTGGACACATGAAAAAAAGAACACTTTTGTCGAGAAATAAAAAGCAGCCTATGGGGTGCATGTAGGAATTGAAAGAGCGATATTTTTTACAATGACCAACAACCCAATAGCCCAACAGCAAAAAAAATAATAAGCAACTACCTCTCTAAATCCAGGAAACTCTACTTCATTAACATCTGCAAAGATGTTATATATAGAAACTCTCATGTTCCTACAAGATTAAATTTATTACAAGTAATATTTTTTATACTGCACGAAGAAGTACGAAAAAAATCCTGGAAATTAGAGGAAAACCATAAAATGCAAGCCCTACTTATTAGCAGTTTTATATCCCCAAAAACATCTTTCTACGACTTCTATTGCCAATCAGTCAGGGTTAGAAAATTTGATCTCCTGCTTTCCAATAATGTGTGTCAAAGATGTCTATTTCCCCATAATTCATGAGTTTTGGGGGATGTGGACATCACAGAGTAGCTTATAGCTATCTATCTTTTAATATCCGACCAACATTGGTGATGAATGTTGTAAGTTTGAAAGGAAAAAGGGATGTGTAAACTACACAAAGAATCATAATTTCCGGAAGCGTAGATACTTTGACAGAGTATAGCAGTATACCACAGGACAGGAGGGAACACAATGGAGATCATATTTCATGACCAAGAGGTACTTAAAGTTCACGTTTGAATTTGTGAAAACAATATATGCCATTTTGTGGGTTAATAGTTTGTTCAAAGGGATGTTATAGTTGTTCTCTATCCTGTTGATGACAGTGTAGGAGGAATCATGCCATAGTAAAGAGGCCACTGATCCCATTCAAACAGTGAAATTGGTTCCAGAGATCACTTATTAACAACAACCATATAAAAAACTCACATGTTTTATTATTCGGTATTACTTCTTAGTCTCAGCATAATATAAGATGAAATAAATTATTTCTGAAAATGATGTGAGCCTATCATAGACAAATTAAGGCAATAAAAAACTAAAAATAAATATCTAAAAAAAAGCTAAATCTTAAAATTATTTAGTATGGTTAAACTGAACTCTTTTGAAAGACTACATATTATGCATATTGATGTAAATAAAGGAGAGGTCTAATAGAGTAAGTGTGTAGATTAGAATTTCAACTATCTGAAAATCCATTAATGATAAAAGCATCTACTAAGATTGCTTCATATCTGGACAATCGAAACCAGACATGATGTTTGCTTTGAAAATAATTGACAAGGATAATGGAAGTTGAAGCACCAAAGACGAGTGAAGACAGGAAAATGGTAGCACGATTTTAGTTCTCAATGAATTACTCAATGACTTCGGAAATGGTAGCATGATTTTACAATGTATAACAAAATGGCCTTCGGAAGTGGTATCACAGTTTTAGTTCTCGGTGTATTATTAAATGACTTTGGGAAGTGGTAGCACAATTTTAAATATCAATGTGTTATTAAATGGCCTTGGGAAGTGGTAGCACAACTTTAGTTCTCAATGTATTATTAAATAACCTTGGGAAGTGGTAATTTTTATCACATTTTGTTATGTGATTTAATATTGTGTGAGTTTTGGTCACTCAAATTTCTTTAGGAACATATACCATCATCATTGCAAAATATTATGCTCCGTAATCATAATTTCTATATTTCATAGCACCGTACTTGTGCAATGCACAGGTATAAATCTAGTTTTGTTAACAGACATTTAAATTTAAAAGGAGGGTGTAGCTATCTATTTGTTAATCCCTTACCGACAGTAGTGATGAATGTAATACTCCCTCCATCCACGAATTATCTTCCGAGTTTAACTTAGCACGACTTTTAATAAAGTGGAATGTGGGGTGGTTGTGGTTTGTTTAGATGAAAGATAATTGATATGAAACACATATTTGTTTCCTTAAAATTAAAGCAAAAGGAAATTTTGGGACAACCCAAATAAGTAAGTAGGAAGATAAGTATGGGACACAGGAAGTACATTAGAAAGGAAACATGGATATCCAAACCCAATATCAAGAATAATATTTTCTGGAAGGGCTGAAATGGCACAGAGTGTTGAAAAGGGAATTCTTTGAGAAACAAGATATGGTGCTGCCAAGAAATGAGATGCAGTTTTAGCTTGTACCTGTCATGCACCAGATGATGTTGATTTGGGGGTAGAAAGTACCACTGTTTCCTTCCACAAACATTTGCTGACCAACTATATGACCTGAAAACGTCAGCATGAAGAGGTGTCCACGTGCCTTTAAGCAAGAACGAACAATTTAGTTTATCTTCACAATGGGAAAAATTTTAATGAGTAAATTCAAATTTCTACATCAAGGGGGGGTTCTTGCTCAAACCTTTAGGTCCCATATATACAAAACGATAGTCCGAGCAACTTATTTCATTTCCCTGATTGTAAGTATCTGGTTCAGTATGCAAGCGGTAATTGTCAAGATACAGATTCAGCCAGTCATCACAGAAGTGCAATGGGGTTTTATAGGCAATGTACTCTGGGTACTCCTGAAACAAATAGGAAACATGTTCAGAACTGGGCACCTGGCTATTCCTGACAAAAAGCAGCAGGAGCACCAGCAATCCCTAAAGTTCCCAAAAGCAGGCCTACCTTAACAAAATGCCAATCCTTTAAATACAACAAGGATTTGTCACTATCACTAGATTCGCCGAACTTAGCACAGTTTATAAACTCAGAAAGTGTCATTTCTGTCCTCTTATCATTTAACACTCCAGTACCACAATCAGCCACCTGATCATACATCAACAAACATAAATTAAAATTTGCTATAAAATGTTATATTGATGAGAAATAAGGTACACTATACCTGGACTTTGGAGGTTCCGAAGTGAGTGGATAGGAACAGAAGATTCGGCTTTCCGGCCTCAGTTACCCAGTCGCTGCATGATCTCCAATCATCCATTAGACCCGTAAGGACTACGGGCTGGTTTTTATTCATGTACTTCTCAGCGAACTCAGCATAACTAAGCACTTTCGCGTTCACTTTTTCCACTTGCCCACCAATTCTTAGACCCATTGCTGTCTCACAATTCCCTCTTGCTCTTAGGAACTATGCTCTTATATCCTCTTGTGGGTTGAACTCAGGACCTTTAATTCATATAGAGTAGGGGTGAGCATGGTATGAGATGGGGCGTAACAAAAATTTCGGAATAGATGGGGCAGGATATGGCCGATATTTCAGTATGAGTTGAACTCAGGACCTTTAATCCATATATATGAGCATGGTACAACTGTACAAGATGGGGCAGGATATGGCCCTTATCAATACTGTAGTGAAAATTTTGGTTCGTTATAGGACTACACCTCTTACTGTTACCAATGCAAAAACATTGGTACAAGGTGAATGCATATGTATCTACTCTACATTTTTAAATCCACATACAACCACAACAACAACCCAGTTGAATCCCACTACAGTAGGGTCTGGGGAGGGTATGTGTACGCAGACCTTGCCCCTACTCGGAAGTAGGGAGGTTGTTTCCAAGAGACCCCCGGCTCCAACTGCACAAAAAATATGATAAGAATCAAAGTATAACACAGATAAAGCACCAAGTACAATGGAATGAAAGTCCTGCAAGCAATAGCAAAAATTTCCAACCAAACAAAACACACTACAAAAAACCTCTGAAGCACCGGGCCCCTATCCAGCTACTCTAATCCTAGTTCTCCAAAGGTTCCTATCTAAAGTCATATCCGCGGTCAGGGTGAGAAGTCCTAAATCTTGCCTAATCACCTCCTTCCAATTCTTCCTAGGTCTACCCCTTCCCCTACTTCCCCCAACAACTGTAATCCTCTCGCATCTCCGTACAGGGGCATCAGCATTCCGCCGTCTCACATGACCAAACCATCTCAACCTCGCTTCCCGCAGCTTATCCTCCACTGGCGCCATGCCTACCTTTTAAATCCACATATAATTGACAATTAAGATTATTAGAAAAGAAGGGGTTCCTATAATGAGAGAGAGAGAAGGTTTCTGCTTTATCAGTGCACTCATTACATCTCCCTCATGTATTAGTCTGTCAAAAACAACCATAAACTCACCTAGTAGTGAGGCAGACCATACACTACCTTACCCTCATAATCTGAAAAACTAAAGTAACAACAAGAATTAAATCATATAGGGTTATGGTCAAAAACTACCGAGTAGGCCGACCTAGAGGTCGGGTATGAATATGAGTAATTAAAGAGAAAGTAAAAAGCAAGAGAGTGCGGAAATGGAGTATTATTAGCTTTATTTTGGATCATTTACAAGTGAAGGGAGAGGGGCATTTATACTACCTTCCTTATCGTTAGTTACAGCAGTAATAGACCGTGATTGACACTTCCTTGTCTTTTAGCTTTTGTCACTAAGTCTTTGGCATATTATCCGACATGCCAACATTGTTATGTCAGTGGTTCTGGGTGATCTTCACATTGCTTTGTCGAAAACGGTCTTTGATGGACCTAGGAGTCCATTACTACCTTCTTCACATCAGGTTGGGCGGGCCACCTCTGCATTTGGCTATATGGTTTCCAACCCTGGTACTAGGCTCGGTATAGATGGTGCCGACCCCGACACCCTGCCAACCATCTTTCTTTGTTCCTAGGCCCAACCCATGGGGTATCTTGAGGGGCTCTTAGGCCAAATGGGGTTGCCCTCTTTCATAGGGCAAACAAAGAAAATAACTAGACTCAAGCCATGTTCTCTTCAACTTATTCTTATTACTTATTATCTTTTCTTATTGAAATCACTTCAGATCAAATCAGATCAGGCTAGATCAGATCTTTAACATTGTTAAATATAACTACATTCAGATCAGATCAGAACTTATTCCAATTAAATCAGAACCATTCAAATCGGGTGAAGAGAACATGGCCTTAAACCACATATAGTCATATATCCAGGCCAAGTATTGTTTTTCTTCTTAAATAGAACATCCGACCTCCATCATCTCTGATGAAGCCAAAGATTCACTATTTTTTTCTTTGGGTATGATGGAATAAAGCAAAATGACTCTTTAAACTTTCTGCACTTCTTTTTAATAGTGAAGTAGCAGTTAGTCAATGCAACTTCTTGCGCTCATCATGGGTTAACCGGAAACAGCCGCTCTATGTTTTTAACAAAGGGATCAGGCAGCATATGTGATTACTTGCGGTGCTTGAGCGAGGTGGAGGGGGTCTCTTTGGAAATAGTCATTGTACTTTCAAGTAGGGGTAAAGTCTGTGTACACACACCCTCTCCAAACCTTACTTTTGTTGGATTCAACTGGGTACTTGTTGTTGTTATGGTTAAGATATATCCCGCTTAAGAAAAATTAAAAACTATGCGGTTGAATTTGATGTATAGGTAAATACTAGAGTAAATTTAATAATTGGTCCTTTATAACAAGGGGTTTTCTCTATTTAGTCCTCTATTATCAAATATTACCTCGATGGTCTTTTTTATTGGTATCTTACCACAAATAGTCTTTTTTATCTTCTGTCATGTTGGTATTAATTCCAGGGTTAAAAGTATAATTTCACAATGATCATATATCTTTCTTGCCATACACAATTTCAGAGGCCGCTCTAAATACATCGTTTGTAAATTTCAGTCACTTTCTTGTACAACCATAGTCTATGGCGGAATCTTAGTCCACATTTATAGTCATTATTGTTGTGTTGTCTGTTTAACCGACATCAAAATACATTACTGGACATAAGATTGATGTCAAATTATACTGTTACCCTCAAATTAACATCAATATGACAGAAGGTCAAAAGAGGACTATTTGTGAATAGGTATCTATGAAAAAGGACCACATAGGTAATATTTAATAGTAGATGACTAAATATGAAAAAAAACTCTCTAAGGTTCAATTATAGAATTTACTCCAAATAGTCAAATACTATGAGCTTGAGAACATTGTTTTGGGACAACTATACGGTATTACGGTGAGAGTTTTTAATGCATTTTCATACACTTTAGCCTAATCAATACATTCAGCTATGAGCTATTTGAGTCACGATAATAGCTGTGGGGTGGGGAGAATTGCAATCAACTTACGAACCAAATCACAAATAAATTTTAAAAAAAAATCATTACCTCTAGATCTCCCAGTCATATTACATTATGAGCTGTTTCTGAAATCTCAATTGAAACATGGGAGAAATTCATAATTACGAAATATCTTAAAGAACAAAAACACAAAATATGCAAAATAATTTACGAATTGCATTTTTATTTAAAAAAATGCAAAACAATCACACATTAAAAACTGACATTCAAAAACCAAAACTAATATGAATTACATACCTTTTAGATTGAAGGATTCAAGTCGGCTATTGTTGACTGACCGGCAGCGATAGGGAGTGCGGACGGCGCGACGGCGGAGGATCCTACTATGGGCACTAGAGTGTTGGACGGAGTAATTTTGACTAAAGTAATACGACGGCGTAAGTGAGATTCTCCCAATCTTTTGTTTATTCCTCTGTTTTTGTTAACTAATTATTTGATACAATAAAATATTTTTTGTTGTATCATATTTTGTCAAAATTTTAATATAGTTTTAAAATTAATTGATGGTTTAAATTTATCACCGAACAAACTATATTAGATAGGGTCTAGAATAATTTGCTAGGTTTAGAAAGTAAAAAAATGAGGAAAAACAAGAGTGACCGGTAGGACTGTAGGTGGAAGCACCTGTAGTCCAATTTCTTATTAAGCACGCAAGAAAGCACCGGGAATTATTACAATACAAATTCAAGATAGATGGAATTTGGATCCCTTCATTTGAGGGTTACACAAGTATTTATAGGAAGCTAGAGGGGACAAGGCGCCGCACATACTCGTCGGACCACATTCCTGGGTGGCTCGAGGTGATTGCCTTTGTCCTTTAGTGGGCTGTCTTATCCCTGTATTCCCTTGTCATCTTGCTAGGAAGGTGACACCTTTGTCGTGTAGCGTGTTGGACAGATTGTGCGAACATATTCGGTGATCTTTCGTTGAAATCAGTCGCTACCGTCCAACCTCCCCTAGATCCTTGTGTGCCGACACTTCCTAACGATAAACCCTACCGTTTAGGTTTATGCATGTAAGATTTATGCAGATTGGAGATGATCAGAATTCAGAACACGTTTCGTAGTTTGACCAGTAAAGTAATCGAAGCGTACCGGTCGGCCTTCTGACACCGGCCGGTATGAACCTTTGTCGTTTAGGTTTCATATTCTAATAATTTATCATTTGACCGGTTAGACGTTGTGGACCCAACCATGGACCAGTCCTAGGTGGAATACACTCATCAATAAGCCCTTCACTTCTCGGTCTTGTAAATTATCAAGGGCGAAAAGTGAAAATCTGGAAGATGGATCACTTAAAATTCGAATTTCAGATCTTTCCCATCTGAACTTTTCAAAATTCAAATTTGAACTCTGATTTTTGACACCTGCCGCCTGCAAACCGTTGTCATCACTGCGTTGTCACCCTGCCCTTTCGTCTCCCCATGCATCATGATGGCACCGCTTGACGCGACGCAACCGTTGCTCGCCACATCGCCTATTTTTCCCCTTTGCTCGCTTATATAAAGGCATCTCGTCCCTTCATTGCTTCACCTTTTGCGCCCATCGGCCCTCGAGTTTATACCGGTCATGTTCCTAGCTTTAGTCTTCCAGCTCTCAGAGTCAAGTAAGCCTTTTAACACCGACCGATATGAACCTTTGTCTTTTAGGTTTCATGAATACTATGATATGAAGCTTACCTGGAGAATCGTTCCTGAGTTCAAGTTCCGTCTTCAACATGCGAAGAGGAGAGAAGTGTGAGAGAAGCAAAGCGTAAAAAAGAATAGAAGATACAGAGTACATGTTATAATTGAGATGAAAAGTCAATCAATCATGCTACACTTACACCAAAAAGTGTACCCCAAAATTACACCAAAGGTATACGCTAACATTTTGATGGTTTATAGGGACACAAAATGTTAGTGCATTAACAAAAATTTTGCACTAACAATTTGTATCTGTGTAAACTATCACCCTAGCATTAAACTGACACAAAATGAAGGTGCATACCTACGGTGTACAAATTGGGATACAAATCTTTGGATACAAATAGGTTAATCCAAAGTCAATTACAGAAATTCTTTTATTTTTTGAAGGGTGCGATGGAGCCTTATTTAATAATAATAAAGTGTAAATTTTCTTTTTTAGCTTATAGAAGTTGGTTGGAGTTGTCCTTATATTCCAATGGAAGAGGGTAAATGGCAATGACAAGGATATCTCCTTTCACAAAATATTTTATCTTCTGTGTGTTAGCTATTGAGAAGTAAAAATATTTCCCCAAAATTGAAAAAGGTATAATACCTTCTCTTTTTCCCTCCTCTTGGAGAATGAATTATTGTGAAAAAAGGTAAATACGAGTTGCTTTTAGAAGAGTTTTGAAGTTTTATTTTAGAGATATAATATATGTTTGGATCATAATTTAGTTGATTATAAATTATTCGTATAATTGCATCTCTCTTGTTCTTATAATAGTTTTAATAATTTATTTATAAATGTGTCTTGACCGAAACACTTTCTATCACTTCCTTTTCAAACAAAAAATCTTAAAAAATATACCAAACCTACCATTGAAAAGATGTGTCGAAAATACAAAAAAGAAACAAAAAGAGTAAATTTCTAAAGTGGTCTTCTTATAAAGTATTTTTCCAAATCAGTCATCTATACATTTGAATTACTCACATTGTCCTCTATATTTGAAACTTTTCTCTAGATAGTCCTTCGCCTTACTCAAATGATGATTAATTGTGGAGTATTTTAGCATTTTTCAGCTAAATGTAGAATAAGTTATTAAAATGATCATTTCTAGCAAAATGCTTTCCAAAAAATATGACTACTTTGGGCAGTGTGATTGTTCGCTTGTAACTGTGTAGTGGCAGTGTGGTTTAATATATTTTCTATATGTGAGTATGTAATGTGGCACTGTAGAATAGATATATGTTGTTATATCTTACGGCAGTGTAGAAGTGTATTATTGTCTTCCTTAATTTCATTTTAGAATGTAATGTCCATTGATTTATGTAGTAGTATTTTTATGTATAAATTCTACACTGTCAAATAGCACTAATAGCACTAATATAGCCCTATAATACTCAAAATATAGGTTTTTAGTGCTATTTGTTTTTGAGATGCATTCCCGGTTTAACCCTTAATTAAACATCCAAAATTGGACTATAAAAAATCGGTAATTGACGGACCTCCAGGATTCTTTTACCGAAAACAACATCCCAAATATGGCCTTGAACGCAGAAGTAGCATCGGGAATGAGACGCGCAAGGGTTTCGATGGCAAACGATGATGCACTGGACGAGATTCCTCTTAACAAAAGATTGGAGAAGATACATGTATACTTAGTTTAATTTGGCAGTGGAATCGTTTAATTTGGCAGTGGATTTAGTAATATCTTTGTTTAATTTGGCAGTGGAGAAGATTGGCAGTGGATTCGGCAATAGATTCTCTTTTAATTTGGCAGTGAATTCGTGAGTTTGGCAGTGGATTGAGTTTTTTTAATTTGGCAGTGAATTCGTGTGTTTGGTAGTGGACTGAATTCGTGAGTTTGGCAATGGAGAAGATTGGCAGAAGATTCGACAATAGCTTCGTTTAATTTCAAAGGAACGGTATCTAGCGTAGGAGGAGTTGGACGACAATAACGTGCGGTAAATGAATTCCTTGAATAACCTAATTTTAATGAAATACATAAAAAAGACTAAATTATAATAAAAGGGTAAAGGGTATGATAGGAACGGATTGACACCATAAATAGCTAAGTTTGTAAAAAACAATGAGTAGTGCTAAATTCGTAATATTGGGTGAGTTAGAGTTCTACGTAGGGTGATTTCTTTAAATCTTTGTTATAAGCAGTTCGAGATAGTTTGTTGTAAAATCTCGGAGTGAATCCTATTCACAAGGATTGTTTCCCAAAACTAGTGCGGTGCTTTGACGGAGTTCAAGAGACCGAGATTTAGTGGATTCGGAAATTCTTGAGGAGCCTCGAGGTACTAAAGTAGGGAGTTTCCGAACCAGTATAAAATCGGTGTGCCTTTTGTTTACGCTTTTATTTCTGCGTTTTATATATTGCTTTCGCATTTGCCAACACCATTTGATACAAGAATTTTATTCAAGTTTAAACAAAGAATATAAATCCTTGTGCTTACTTCATATGCAATGACTAGGGCTGTAAACGGGTAATATCCGCTATAGATATGGTATATCCGAATCTGAATCTGATTAAGTTTTTCAGATATCCAAATCAATATCCGTATCCGACGAATATTTACATTTCTATATCTGAATCCACAACCAACGGATAATTTTTTATTTCGAATATATCCAAATCCGATTAAATATCCTAAATCGGTCAAGTACCCAAATCCAACCAAATATCAACGTGTTCAAACCCGAAAACAAAACTTTAAGATAGGGGTAGAGGGATTCGAACCCAAGATCTCTCACCTTCAAATTCAAAGTTGTAGCCATCTAGGCTAAATCAAACATTTGGTATTTAAAAGCAGTACATAATATATACATATTTCTTAATACATGTTTTTTTCTAATATTTTTTGTAAAAAAATTTACATCTAACTGTAATGTTTTGTATTTTTTTAAATTAACCTAGGTATTATTTATAATTATAGGCATACTTATTTATGTGATAATATTTTATTATATTTTAAAGTACTTCAAAAAACTAAACAATTTTATTATAAATATCAATATTTATACATAGCTATATGTCATTGACTTGATTCAATCCGGTTAAACGTTGATCCAATTGCTAGTTCAGTTTGGTTTTCAAAACATTGTCGAATATCTAAATCCGTTAATAAAAATTCAAATAATTATAAAAAGAACGAGAAAGTGAATATTGAAATCCACAATACTGAACAACGTCAAATACGTAAAAAAAAACTACTGAATAAATAATAAATACTTAACCAAACAAATGATTCGAACAAAAATATAAATTCATAATCAACCAAGTACTATGTGGAAGTAATGAGCCAAGTACCAATGTATAATGGGCTAAATAAATTATTATAAACTGTTATCTAAACAGATGTATATTCGGATCAGATTTTAAACGGACCGGATATACAATTACCAAATCTATATCAGTTTAGTAATCAGATGTTTTTAATTGGATACGGATAATATCCATTTAAAAAACATGTGGATTATTCTTGTTTAAACGAATAGAAATGCGGACGGTAATCGGATTTTCGATTATCTATTGACAACCCTAGCAATGACGATTAATAAGAATCAAGGACCATCTCTAGAACATGTAGGATTATTACTACGAAAATTGGTATTAAGTGAGATACAATCATATGTTACAGTTTCAAGAATATCAAATTACAATGACTTGAAGATTCAAATATACAATATAGAGGATATTTCCACAAATTGTATATGTAGTGTAGGTTATAAAGAAGTTTCTCAAAATTTGAAATTTATTTGATATTCATGCTTTAAAATAATGAAAAACTTTATATTATATTATATCGCTTATTCTTATTCGTCAATAATGACACCGATATAATTTCATAACATAAATACGAGTCGTACAACGCACGGGTGTGATACTGGTCATATAAATAGCTCACTAAAATGTCATTGGTTAAAATAAATAACTTATTGTACTCCTCCAGGCTCCTTCCACATTTAAAATGTCTATTTCAATTTATGATATTTGACTGAGATTATTTCAATATAATGAATATGATGATTTGGGTGGGATAAAAAATAAAATTTACATATTTAAAAATTATACCAAAAGTTCCAAAAAATAATAGGTGACATGACTATATTGTTTTATCAAATAAGTAGCAAAGTTATGTTTAAAAAGTGAATAAAGTTTGACACCGTGAATAACAAAAAGACTGATGTGAGGTATCCTTTATTTTGTGGTAAAAACTCTTGAATTCCTTTTTTCAAAATATATTGCACACTAAGGATGGGCAAAGAAAAGAAAACGAAGTAAAAAACAGTTTTTCTTGTTTGGTTAAAGAGGAAAAGAAAGGAAAAGTAGAAGGAAAAAAATGAGAAGACAAAATGTTCCAAGTGGAGGGAAACCAAATTGCTCTCATTTTGATGAGAAAAAAATGAGAGAACCCCGTTTTCTTTTGATGAGAAAAACCAAATTCTTTGAACCAAACATAGTTTCCTACAAAACAGGGATAACCTGCAACATTTTTTTGCCGCAAACAAGTACAGAGTAGTATAATTTATGACAAAGTGAGTATTCTTTATTTTGCAAGCAAGAAATATTATTTATGTAGGCCACTGCAAAATTCAAGAATATATAGTCATATCTAATACTCCGTATAACAAATACAATACGTAGTGAATAATAGGGACTCAAGGATGTTTGTGTGGAAAAAAAATCAAAAAATTGCCCTTGAGTACCCTCAATTTTGTGATAACAATTTGCAGGTTCCATTATTTTTTAAAATATACTTTGGGGTAACTTAAAATTTCCAAAAAGTTACTCTGGGGTAACAATCCATCATTCGCTACGTCAGTTTCTATTTTCCGTAAACCTTTTATTCTTCTTCACCCTCTTTTGGCCTTCTTTCTTCTTTTCTTTCTTTCTTTCTTCTTCTTCTTCTCCTTCTTTTCTTCTACGCCCTCCCATCTCATCCAGCCCCCCCCCCCCATCCCTTCCCCTTTTTTTTCTTTTTCTATTTTTTTCTCTTCTTCTTCTATTATTATTTCTATTATTACTATTATTATTATTATTATTATTATTATTATTATTATTATTATTATTATTATTATTATTATTATTATTATTGTGGTTCTTGTTAGATATTACGGAGTATTATTATTTTATTATTTGTAAGTATTTGTTATTATCATCATCATCATCATCATCATTATTTATTTATATATTTATTATTTTATTTAAATAGTAGTTTTACTAAGGCCCCATAAAAATTTTGTGTATGCCCCCATTAACTTTTTTCCAATATTCACTTGCGTAAAAAAAGTTAAAATATTTTAAAGCTTTGATTGAAAATTAGTTTTAGTAATTTATTTATGTATAGTTTATAAAATTAAGATTATTTATATATTAACTTGGTTATAAATTATATGTCGTAATTCATAATAATAATATGAAATTTAACACTATTTTTATCATTTCATATTATATTTAAAAAAATCTAGAGGCACGTACTCGTCTTATTCTCCTTTCAAGTCCTCTCATTTTCGGCATTCACTACTACCAATGGCAGTTGCCGATGGCTATTGCATGACTAATGCGAAAGACAACATCAAATGTTAAAAAAATTAGAGTAGTAAAACTATCAATAATTTTTTAATAATGAAAATAATAACTGTTATTTTAAATAATAATTAGTGTTATTTTCTTAAAATAGAGTAATAAAACTACTAGTTAATTTTTAATAATAATAATAATAAATAAAAACGATAGAAGAGAAATAAAAAAATAAGAAATACTCCGTAGATAATAATTAATACAAAGTATTGTTATAAGAGGTGCAATTTTTCTAAATAACAACTATTGTTATTTTTTGAAAAAAAAGAGTAGTAAAACTAATAATTAGTTTTTAATAATAATAATAGTAATAATATTAAATAAAATTAATAATAATAGAATAAGAAGAAAATAGTAATAAATATGAAGTAATAATAATAGTACTGCTATTTTTTCAAAAAATTAGAATAGTAAAACTAGTAATTACTTTTTATAATAATAATAATAATAATAATTAATAAAAAATAATTATTATAATAGATGAAGAAAAAATAATTCAAAACAAAAAATAGAAGAAGAAAAAAAGGGAGGCGTTGGATCAGATCTGAATGCAAAGGAGGAGGATGAGGAGGAGAAGAAGAAGAGAGAAAGAAAGAAAGAACGAAAGAAAGAAGAAAAGGAATGAGAAGAGGAAGAAGATGACCGCAAGATGTTAAAGAAGGAGAAGTTAACGGAAAATGAAAATTGACGGAGGGAGTGACGGATTGTCACCTCGGAGTAACTTTTCAAATATTTTAAGGTACTCTGGAGTACATTTTAAAAAATCATGGGACCTGGTAGTTCTTATCACAAAACCGAGGGTACCCGGCAGCAATTTTTTGAAGAAAAAAAAATCGATAAAAGCTTAGGTCTACTCCAAGGATACCATGGCAAGAGGGTGTGTCATGTGTGTGTACAATATATGCCTAGTGAACATTGATGAAGGAAAAAAAATATAAGTAAAACATGACGAAGTACTCCGTAATAAATATAGTTCTAAAACAAGAGTTACATGTTTTTATTTCAAAATATAAATTACAATATCAATAATGTCAACATATAACACCCAAAAAATTGTACAATAGCAACATACAGTGTCCAAACTTTTATTTTGAGGATAAAAACAAAATTTTATTTTGGATATTTATATTGCATTCTAGTCCTAATTTATTTTGGATATTTGTATTGCATTTTAATCCTGTTTTAGGTGATTTCTTATCAATGAAGCATAAATCTCTACAAAGAAGATGAGTATAAAAAGGAGCAAAGAGAGAGTCAGGTCGGCTGATGAATGGGATCTCCTTTGTGGAAATGGAACCCTTTTTTAGGCAAATAAGAATTCTAGTGCTGAGATTAAGACATGAGCTCATCTCATGGACTTTCATATAGGACAAACCGAATATCCTTGTAGTATTTCGGAAAATACTATTATTCCACCAATTCTTATTATTGTTGAGACATTTGTTTGGGATGATATATCATTTCTCATGCTTTCTTTTTATTTTAATATTATATGTTTGATTCTAATATCACAAATTATATAAACTCTTTCATATAAAAGAACTTATAATGCCAAATAGGCAAATAATACCAAAACCATGGATTTTTATTCATATTTTGGAATTTAAATATTGCCAGATAATGCAAAAGAATTTATACAAGTTATAATGCCAAAAAATTTTGTCTTAAAATCATATTTTGGTATTTAAATATTTCCAAACAATGGCAAAGAATTTATACGCCTAATAATTCCAAATAAAAACCAAACTACAAAGTAAGACGTATAATGTCAACAAATAATGCCAAAAAAACATTATGAAATGCCAACATATAATACCAAATTGCAGCGTTTACAGTGCAACAATCCTACTTAAGGATAAAAACATGAGAGTTCTCATTTTGGTATACGGAGTATGTTTTAGTCTTATTTTGGTACAAGTCATGTTTTAGTCATATTTTGGTATCAGTTCTATGTTTAGTCTAATTTCAGTAGATTTCTTACCAAAGAAATGGATATTCTTCGAATAACAGAGCTAAGTCCAGTTACCGGTCAATGTTCTTCTACACGGGATGTGGGCATGAAGTCATGCAGATTCCTCCTCGTGAATGAAATGAACAATTTTAGATTTCACCTCTGGTGGAATACGTATGGGGCGATAGTTTTTGTTGAGCCAAACAGATGAGGCTTTAGCCTCCAAAATAGGCTGGCAGAAGACACAACAAAGCATGAGTTTTTAGATCCTCAAAACTAGCTGTGTAACACAAGTCAAACAAGGGAAAGAGTACGAAAACCTCTTGATTTGGTAGCTTAAAGATCAAATGATGAAATGATAGCCGAGCACCTGAGGAGTCTGATATCTTGACCTTCACAACAAACCTATCTCCACTCTGATCAAATCAGCACAAGAGTAAGAAGCAGCAGCTGCTACAGTAACAACAAGAATCAAGTATAATCTTAATACTCAATAGACACTAGATGAATTGCTTCACTTGCATTTACTCCCCAAAGTAAGAAGCAAGGGTAGAACTACTTTATCCACCCGGATTCAGATATCCATTTTCTCAATTTGGGGTGTCTGGAATTAGTTTTGCACTTTCTACATGTAAAAATAAAAATAAAAATAATTAGGAATAGTCAGATTTACCCCTAGGCCCTAGCGAAGTATATTGGCTTGATCGTCATCTATGAAAGACAACTCATTTCAAGGAGTTATATGCTATTTCACTTCCATTCTTGAAATATGATGCATTTGAGAAAGTGGACAAGTAAATCTATAGGGAGAGAGTAATAAATATAAGAATGCATGGTAAGAAAATCCAATGATGAGATATTGGTAATCATATATTGAGACAATCTAAAGACCCTACATTTAAGTACAACAATTGCAACATGCCAACATGTATACAGGTAGCCAACAAATGACCCAAAAGGAATGAAAAGAAACCTAGCCATACAACTCAAGGATTTTGAGCCTTTGAACCCTTTTTACATGAAAAGTATATTGGTTCTACTCTGGCCATTTAACATTTACTTCACAAATTAATTGAAATCCAAGATTCTCTGCATAACCAATACTAACCTTATATCCTATAAGCCTCATTCTAAAGAAACACAACGTAAAATCAGAATTCTCTAAATTCCAAATACAACTTAACTTTTCCCTCCTTTGTTTACTCCCAAATAACAAAATAAACTTTTTTCATCTTTGTTTATCATATTGGCCAAACTCCCATCCCTAATATTTAGACAAGGAAATCCCTTTTCCAATAACAAATTGGTCTAAATTAATACTTTCTAACCAAGACCAACTTCTGACTCATTTTTCTCACGTGGCCAAGCTATCAACCACAAAACTATATGTTCCCACCTTTTTGCCTTTTCCCTTGGTCGAAATTCACTCAAATGGAGGAAGAATACTCACATTCCCTTGTATTTAATCATGTGATGTCAAAGCCAGTCTACTTGAACTAAGGACTTCAATTTATCCGAGACTTATCCTTCTTTCACATGGCCAAATTCACCTTCTGTAAAGAATCTAAATACCATGTCCAATCATTTCTCACATCATATGGCTGGTATATACACTCAAAAGTAGAAGAAAACATCATAAACATCAACTTTAACTTTTGCATACTAATGTTTTCACAATGATCTTATATTTGTATATGTGTTGGACAATAACCAATGTTAAATACCATGAAAGACTTTCCATTCGCCTGGACGAATACAACAAAAAAAACAAAAAGAGAAATAGTACATTGAAGACAATACACCACAAGTTAAGGAGGAAGAATGGCCCAAAGACAAACCTCTTTAAAACAGGGTGACTTGCCTTAATGAAGACCATGAGTTGTTAGCATATAAAAGTGGCAAGATTTTCAAAGGTGATTGAAGGGATACAACTAATTCATTGTTGGTTTAATTGATCGCATAAGGATGAATTCATCAAGAAAAAGCTACAATAAGAAAAATATTATTCCTCAATGATGGACTGTCTGGAACTTGTTTTTTTATATCTTTGGTTAATCTTTCAACAAAATATTCCTCCCACATGATGACACGATGAGCACCGAATTATGGAAGAAAATCAAGAAGAAAAATTTGCATATCTAAAAGAAGAATGTTACTAAAGGTAAAGAGACACTCTCTTAAATCATAGAATTGTGTCTCGAGCCAATGATAAGCATATTAGTCTTCATAATCATTATACTTTATCCTCATTTTCATCTTGTAATCATGAGCCAATTTTGTATCTTTAAGGGCCTATATAATCCAGCCAAGACATTAGTCTAAGGTAGATTTTGAAAGCTTAATTTTGTTGTAATACACTTTGAGTAATACCCCTTGAATAAAGTGTGAAACATGTTCAAACCATTTCCTAATTTATATCTCTTTTAGTTGGCTACTGTAGAGTGTGTATTAAGAGGAGTCTAATTATACACTTACTCCTTTTGGAAAAGGGGAAAATGACATCCGAAAGTCATTTTTCTCAGTTTTCGTTGTAGGAAAATGATATCAATGGAATTGAGGCAGGTGACGAACAGAAAATCCCATCTAATATCCCAAAATTCACTTCCCCGTTAAGAATCGGGAAATCATTTTCTTCCTCTAAAGTCTCAATGCTCTGCGTATTTCTCTTCCATCTTTCTTCTCCTTCTTTACTGTATCGTCGCTTCTTCTCTATCTTTCTCTCTCCTCTTCTTCTCCGTCTTTTTTTATGTCATCTACTTCTCCATCATTCTCCACTGGCACACATCCCTCCCTCCGCTCGTCTGGTTGCTCATCTGCTCTTCGCTCTGTGGTTCTCTGTTAGCCTTTGACTTCTTCTCTCTACACCAGAAAAGGCATTTATCCTCATTCATTTATCTTAAATTGGTTATTTGGTTAATGTTGCCAATTATTTTTCACAAGGTTTTTGCAACTAATTCAATTTTGTTTCTTCTCATTATTCCTAGGTTTCTAATTTTTCAACTAGGGTTCAATGTCTGCTAGGGATACTTTCTCATTGCCTAATGTTGTTGAATTTTTACCAAGGATGTTTAACTTAGAGTTCAATTAGGTATTACGAGCCCCGCAAAAAGGAGAAGCATGCAAATAATCGAATACCAAAACAACAGCGTCCCTACTTTAGAGTAGAGGCAAGGTCTGGGTACACACACCCTCCAGGCCCTACTTTAGTGAGACCCAACTGGTTGTTGTTGTTGTACTCACTTTCCATGGAGACTAATAGCTCATCTCGGTATGCAACTATAAAGGACCAACAATGCGAAAAACGTAACTTAAGGTGTCGGGTTAGGTATCATGAGGCCCGCAAAAAGGAGATGCATGGAAATAATGGAATACCAAAACAGTCTGAGCATGCTACTCTTTTCCTTCATATTGAAGGTGTTTAACTTTGTATACATTCAAATTAGCTTTTTGCACTCTTTTTAACATATGGTCACAGTTAGTCCCAAGTTCCCTTTGAAGGGATTTTGTAACTAACTAACTAACTCTGTGTGTGTGTGTGTGTGTACCTGTATGTAAACTGGACACTCTTAGTATCAAGCTCTCTTTGTGGGAATTTTGTAATAAATACTCCTTTACCAAAGACCATATCTTTACTCAACTTTAATATAACCAAACTTGGGCACCACGCACATAGCTATGATCTAATGTTGGTACAAGAAATGGGGATTGTTGCAAAAGCTATTGTGAAATTCAATAAGTTGGATGATGATGATGATGATGATGATGAAATGTATGCCAAAGTGATGAGTGTTGGTGAAGGGTATGATCAAAGAGAACTCGGTAAAGCATTTTTATTTCTAATGAGACTGAAGCTAGAATATTCAATGCTAAAAGTGACTACTTGAAGAAGATATGGATCAAGGAGCTTTTATTGAGTTGGCTAGACTAGATTTTATGAGTGTTTGAACTGACCCAGCTTTATTAATATTTGTATGATTTAATCGATATTTTTTATTTAATGGATGTTTTTAAGAATATGTTATCATGAATGTTTGTTTGAGTTAATGAATGATTGTGAGACGTTATAATGACTCTGCAACAAAGTTCTCTTTGAGTAGACCTTACTCTATATTCATAAATGAAGCTTTGAAGGTGGTGTATCTTTTTACTGAATTGATTCCATGTCTATGAGGATGCAAAGTTCTAAACAGCAACAATGTTTTTTAAGGACCATTGACTTTAACAATAATAAATATGATTTGAAATTTTGTATAAAGTTAAAAAAAAAAAATTATTTATTTTTAGAAATATTCATTTTCTGAAAAATGAACCAAACAGAATTAGACATCACCCCTAACCATAACAAGTTATTTTCCGCAAAAGGTTTCCAAGCGGACTCTAAGTTGTGATATTTTTTTTGTATATGAGATATGAAAGCCCTAAGGTGAATAAAAAGTGTGCCTATCTCTTGATATTAACTTAGAACATTCCTTATGAGAAATTCCTTAAAATATCCTATTTGCCAAAACTTCCTGCAAAACACCCCTAATCATCAGACACATCATTTGGTATCAAAGTATACCATATCTTCTTCCCTAAAGAACTACACTTCCAAAACCTAAGATACCAAAGAGAACTCTACCTTCACCTTCATCTATTCCACCATGTTTTTTCCCTTGTATATTTGTCTAAAGTCCCACGCAAATATACAACACAAAGCTAACAGGGGAGCTTGGGCAATTTAGAACACTTGAAGCTACAACAAATAGCTAATTGAACATTTACACATGTCCAAGTGCTCTTACCTACTTTTCTAAAACTTGCAATGTTGGAAAATACCATGGTTCTCACACCCAAAATCAACATGACAATTTGATCTTAACACGGATACTATTCGTACCCTTAGTGGTGCCAGAAACTTAAGTGAAAGATCTGTCAGAGCCAGTGCTTCACCGGTGCGTGCAACTGCATCAGCACTAATACCAATCTTCTCAAAAAGTTCATGACGACCTGTTCAGATATTAAAGACTTTGTGGGAGCTGTTGAGAAGAAATAAAAACATCATTTAAGCAAATATGAGACAGTCAAATATGTAGGTCACTCTTCTAACAGGAACCTGGCAGTTATTAATCTATTAACAGGTAGCTCTTCCTCTGCTACTATTTATCGCATTCAACCTAGATAAACCAAGAATGTTCCAATTGTAGAGCTGGATGGTCGGTAAGGCTTCCATCACATCTTGATTTGTATAGGCCAATCTTTTATTGGAAGGGTTAAATTGGGTTTTGATACAAGTAAACAAGAACGAAAGACACAAGACTGCAACTGGAGAACCTATATTACATGATATCCCTAGCTTTGATGCTTTGTTTAATAAAATCCTTGGCATTCCTTTCTCCATAAAATTCTATATATGCACTCAGAAACATTCAACATTTCAACCACAGTTTTCCTCCTAAGAAAAGTACCAGAAAATAGTATTTCAGCATACTTATGCCTGCAATCAACCTGATTTGCAAGCAAACCAGAGGATTCACACTAACAATATTGGAGGTTAGGCAATGTGTGTGTGTGACCAAGTCTTAAACAAGCATGGAAGACAGTTCAAGCTGAGACATGTAACCTAGCAATACAAATAACACATGTTAAATCCAGCCTTAATTGAGTAAAAAAAGTTATCCTTCATTTTATTTTGAAAACATCATATCATATCATGGTATACAACTTCCACGAGTATATGACAACAGTGATCTTTCACTATCAGAGTACCAACATTTCAAAAGGATTACAGAGTCTTACCATGTTGGCAATAACTAGCATAGATAGCATTATTTACAACTCCATATTGATCTAATTCATAATCCCTGACTTTCATCTCAACTTCATGCCACTCACTCATTCTGTGAAGCAACAACTATGGTTATATACAAAAGAAGTTTTCATGTTGTTGTTAATAACACTGCCAATCAATGAAAGAATAAAAATGAAATCTTGAAAAAAGAAATTGTAGAAAAGTGTATATTTAATTATTTATTTATTTTTAAACTAAATCTTTCCAGCCACTGAAACAATAGTTAGGCCCTCCACTATTTCGAGACTTGCATATTTTCCAGAGCTTTGTGCCAACTAGCAAAAAATTAAGCACGCATATCACTTAATCTGGCAAATCCCACAAATTAACCGCCAAGAAACACCTCTTCCACCTACTAATAGGAGAATTTACAAATTTTCTCATCACTTCTTATCCTTGACTAAAGTTGCAGTCTCAAAGAGCATCTCAAAATATGGTACAGATTTTATTAATTTAGGTTTTGATGGATCAATCGCACCCTTTACAAAACGCTCCATAATCATAAATATGACAAATAAATAGAATACACGACATACAACGAAAATGAGCAGAGAGATCAAAAGGAACAAATAAATGCCATACCCTTTGCCGCCTTTGATAATCAAAGGAAGTGCGTTAGAAATACTCTTGGTTCGAGAAGGAGACTGGGCAAGAGGCGGCAGGAAGCGCCGCCGCAGATGTAGTGGTGGAAGATTGGGAGATCGGTGGTGGAGACGGTGGCACATGGAAGAGCCACCTGAAGTGGATGAGATCAGGCGACTGCTGGAGAAGCTCAAACATTGCGACATACTGACAAGTTTTGCGAGTGATGTACTATCTACACAGTAAGTACAGAGTAAGGAAGACAGTATAATCTGCAATCTCATAAAAGACTATGTACCAATAATTAGATGATTCATACTAAAACAAAATGTTGGTGCGTTAAAAAAAATTTACACTAAAACAAAGTGTTGGTACGTTTACAAAAATTAGCATTACACCAACACAAAATGTTCGTGCATCCATGCGGTGTACAAAATGGGGTACAAATTCTTGAGGTACACATAGCTTTATCCTCTCATAAATTAATTTCGGACGATGCATCAAGTACCGTTTCAATGGAAATAAATATGAAACGGTACTGCAAGTGTCGTTCTAAAAACAAGTAAATCTACCTTTTGTACTTTCCCAACCCAAACAATCGAAGAGGAGAAGGCCGCTAGATCCAGATCGAGGAGGAGGACCGAAGAACGTTTGGATGCATTCGTCGTTGTCCTCGCCGTCGGATTATTCAAATGGTAAATAGTCTACCATTTGAAACCTTTGTCGGCCACCCACCGCTCGTCGGAGATCTGCCAGAGATCTGCCACTTGTTCTTCTCTTAAGAGTAAACATTCTACTATTTCTTCAATTTAAATTCTAGAGAATTTTGTTATTGCATCTTCAATTTTATATTCTATATATATTATACTTATTTTATCTATAATTCATGCTATACTTTCTGTAACGCTCCAAAACATACCCTAGAATTATCAATGAATAATTATTCAATTAATCAAATTTGTTTTGATTAAAATGAATTACTGTTGGGCTTTGGGCCGATACGAAATGTGTTTTGACATCCAATATCAAAATCTGGATAAGTCTCATAGAGATAAATCCAATATGTGGACTATTTGTGTGGTCTTGATTGGCAACCTGAGTACATACCCAAATCAAGAATAAATGAATAAATTAATTATGATGTGAACTTTGTAATGATTTATTGAAATAAATCATGAGAATAATTGATATAAATTAAATAAGAGAACCTTTTATGACAAAGGTCAATTAAACCAATTTTGACTCTGTCAAAGTCAAACACCCAAAAATATGGTGTCCGAAAAAGTATTACAAATAAATATAAAAGTTATAACGTTGGATAGAGTTTAACTATCTGATCGCAACGGTGTAAACGGAATTCAATTCGGAAAAAGCTGGACCAAGTATGACTACCCGAGTAATTATGACTACATAATGATCATGATTTTATCATGACAAATAAAAATATATGGAATTGAACGAAAGAACCATAAAGATGAAATTATGAATAGATATGTTTGTTTGACTATCTTGAACTAGATTATGATTATGAATTATTGAACCATAATTCAAAATGAATAAATTGATCAACAAGAAAATGATGTGTATTGTTAAAGATATCTAAAAGACTTTAAGATATACCTATTAGCTAATTGATGTTAAGACTATCTAGAAGACCTCTAGAATAGATCTTAGGATGAACTTATGAAAACATAAATAGTTCATGAATTAGATAAAAATGCATAAACGGGATTCGTAGACCAAGCTAGAGGATTACTCGTTTGGGAATGCCCGATCCAATGTTGATCAATCGCTATATTGTTGTTGCCTTAACTGACTACAGTTAAGTGTCCGAAATCGATTGCTTTAAACTAATCATAGTTTAAGTGTCTGATTGCCTTAACTAACTACAGTTAAGTGTCTGAAATCAATTGCCTTAAACTAATGATAATTTAAGTGTCTGATCAATAATTGCTTTAAAAGAATCTGGTTATGGAAATTATGATTTGGCCTTAGACTAACAATAGCTAAGAGCACTATTATGATCTGGCCTTAGACTAAGAATAGCTAAGAGCGTTGTTATGATCTGGCCTTAGATTAAGAATAATTTAAGAGCACTATTAAAATAGTATCTGAATTAAATAAAATGTGTTGATATGAACTGAACAATACCAAAACTGTGAATGTCTGAAATTAACATTGTGTGCATGATATCAAATGATTTGATTATGAATTTAGATTCAGTTTATATGGATGTTCGACGCATTAGATATGCTTACTCAGCTTTACCGTTGAGCGTGTAGTGTGTTTTATTTGCTACACGCAGGTAAACAGAAAGCATAACGTGATCCTGGCGACAGATGGGGCGAGATTGTCGGGATGGATGTGACAAGTTTTGAAACAATTTATGATATGTCAATATTAAAGTCACTTCCGCAATATTATTGAATACTTCTTACTGTATATATTATGAAAAATATTAATGGGATTAATAAAGTGTGTTTGAAAAGTTTTAAATTTTTACGATTACCAAGTTAAATACTTTAGTCCGAACGGGGCTGCAGACCTGGACGGATTAGGGTGTTACAGTTTGGTATCGGAGCAAATGGTTTTAAAACCGATCTTTAAATCAAAATTTGATATTAAAAAAAATGTCAATCACATCCACGACTCTCGCATCCCTCTGCTCCAGGAAAGGTATGATAATTTATTAGATAAATATTGACTTTGTTAAAATTCTCATTAGATAACAATTGTTAGTACTGAAATTAAATCGAGCATAGACTCAAGTAGATTTTTCGTACTCGGTGAAGAGACGAAAGAATAAAAAAAAATTGTGATACGTTATCAACGTACTTATCATATCGCGATTGACGAAGGTGATCTATCTCGCAAAGTCGCATAGAAGTGAGACGACTATGAAGAAATGCCTAATGTTGAATAACATTCGCGAAGCTGCTGTCAAAGATTTTCATGTGGACTGAAGATGATCGGATTGCTGATTTAAACACGAACGTTTAGAATCAATAAACTCTGTTGTCTAAAATGTTGGAACACGGGTTTACGCCTTACGTCGTACTAAACTGTGTTCGGTTTTTATGACAGGTTTTGATAATGCCAAACCGCCGCGACATATCGAAGCTAAAGTGAGCAAAACTAAGGCGAAGGAACATGGCATGATGACTTGAGAACCAAGAACCCAGAATCAAGAACGAAGAACTAAAATCGTATTGAGTCGGTCTTAATGTGATCAAGACCGGCACAAAATTCCAAATCTTGGCTCTCTAGGCTTATCTTCTAAAAATCTCTTTTACATGTTCAAAACTATTTTTTCTTAAGTTTAAACTTGGGTCAAAACACTTGGAGTTCGCCCAAGCCAAAAAACCAAGCCATCCGGCGTTCGGCTTTCAGAAACCGGCATTCGGCTTTCGGCTTTCGGCATTGGTTTTTGGCGTTCGAACCAACCAAGTGGTTTTCAACTTTTTATGACTGGTTTTTATCTCTGGGCATATTTAATTAGCTCTCCAACAAAAACGCCTCAAAAACCACTCTCCTTTTTTTTGTCGTTTAGTAAAAACCATGCGAAACGGCACGAACTTGGTTAGCCGTGGTTTTCAACTAAATGACGTGGTTTTCAAGATGTTTTACTTGTTCTCTTAGCAAAATGCAATAAACAAATGTTTTCTAAACTTGGTTTTTATTTTGGAGAACTTACTTTTTTGACATCGGCTAACGGCGTGACTAAACCAACCATGGGTCTGGCTAAACCAGCCCAACAGCGATGTTGAGGTAATCAACAGCGCTGTCTGGACTAGGTAGCTAAAAACATGGTTTGGCGTTAAGTCTTCCAACAGCGATGTTGGTCACTAGACATCGCTGTTGAGCCAAGGTTGGATTTCCAGAAACTTCTGGAACAGCGATGTAGGCTTCCCTACAGCGCTGTCCAACCTAAGCCAAAAATATAGTGCATTGGCAGAAAGTTTTTGGACAGCGATGTTGACCCAGCAACAGCGCTGTCAGGCCAAACTTCCATCTCCAAAGGCAGACCTAAACAGCGATGTTCTAGGATAGAACATCGATGTAGAGACCTGACCATTGGAAGGAATTTAAGGCTAAAACTTTCCTTGTTTGGAAGTCAACAGCCAAAACAGCGATGTAGGGGTTTTGGACATCGC